GTGAGGATCCCGGAGGAGGAACACCCTGTTTGCTACCCACGCACACCTCGTGCGGCCCCCACCCCACCCGAAATACGATCCTGGGTTTTCATCATTTCATTTCGTCCCCTCCCCTCGGCGTCTCGAGTTCTCAGAACGATAGTGACTGGTCGCTTGACACCCGGAGTGCGGGGTGGATTTATCTACTGTAGCTTTTTTTTCCTCGGGGATCCGAGATCGTCTGCGTGTTTTTGACGAGGATCAGCCAAGAAGGGGTGGGCAGGGCTGTAATAGAACCAGTGGCAATAGTGAGTAACATGTGGCTAAGATTTTTTTTCATTTTTGCTACAACGTTGGCAGGGCGACACCCTTTCCCTTTTTTCTAGATGGGGGGGTGAAAGACAGCAAGCCTCCCATATAATTCCATCCTCTTTTATGTTATATATTATTATTGGTTGGTTGCAAGAAGGAGCTCCCCCACCTCTTTCCCTCTACTATAACCCCTGGAGTTGTACATTCCCTGTAATGAGTACAGGTGTTCTCACAGGAACAGCTGGATGCCTCGATGGTTTAGGCATCTGGTATTTGGCTGCAGAAATAGGCTCTTTCAGTGGGATGAGCAGCAGAAATATAGGGTTTTCCCTCCCTTCATTTCGTACACCAAGAGGCTTGGTTGTAATTTGGAAAAGACTGCATCAGTGCAAACGATAGTAATTTAAGAAGGCTATAATCAAAAATGGCCATGGAAAATATTTTCTGTCACTTGTAGCATTGCTTTAAAAAAAATCAACTGCCCCTTGTTATTCTTGTTGACTAGAACCATAAGAAAGGCCAGAATCTTATTGGGATTTTACAATGGAGTAAATGAAATTGTGTAAATTGTGGCAGCAAATTGAAGCTTATTTACAAGATGCTGGGTGTGTGCCTAATTGTGTGCCAGAGAGGAGATCGGCACCTTATTAATTAGCTACAATTTGCCACTGCACCTTGAATTATTTCACTTTACAAAAGAATAAAATCCCAGTGAGATTCTGGCCAGTAGTGTGCTTATGTTCTAGATGGAAATAGCAAAATAAAGAAAACATGTACAATTCCAGAATGGCATTGATTAAATGTATTCTTGCTCTATAATAGTTTTAGTTTAGCCGTCTCCCCCCTTTTCCCTTCCATGTTAAAAATTCCTAATTGAGTTAATATGTTTTTAATAAAATAATTATTTGGATGGAGGACAGGAATGACTGGGGATGTAGGACAGGCTATGTAAATGAAATCATACGCTCTTTCTTGTCACTTTTATCGGTATAGGTTCCGTGTATTAAGTAAAGCCGTGTATATAGATAGAACTCGCCATAAAACAAATATCAGTTGTTTCCTTTGGCCTTTGCGTTATTTAGAACCACATTGGAAGAAGGGTATCTGGAACATCTTTCTTTTACAAAATAGATGGCCGTTCCAGTATCCTGCTGCTCTTGTCCAAGTCTTCCCAGGTTTTCTCTCTACTTGCAAGGCATCATGTGCTAGTCTCCTGTCCCCGTTCTAGCAAAGGATCTGTTGTATTTCTCATTTTCTGTTTCTGGAATACAGTATGTATCTTGTCAGAAGATTCGTTCACCTCCTTGTGAAATGTTCTGCTACAAAATAAATCATTAAGCTAATTGTTTGCACTTCTATTTCAAATCATTCTATTGTCTTATGTAGCCAACACTTTCTCATATCATTGATTATGCCTGTTTCTACTCCTCCCCCTTTATTTTGTTTTAGTTACTTAGCAGGATATTTCAACAAACTAGTAAAGGACAAGGAAATTCTTTTTTTTTCTAGGACTAGGGGCATTGCAAGAATGGCTCCCCCTTCCATGTTCTGTGTTTATTTTATTCTGTTGACTGCCATTCTTAAATTCTACATCTTTTCTTTGTTTTGCTATTTCCATCTTTTAAAAGGGAATTGATGAATGGAACAGTGTTTCACCAAGTCCTGATGGTTTCATATGTACTGATGTTGACTACATCCTCTCTGATGATGTTTTTGTTCCATGAAACCCAGTGCTAAATCTGTTTGAACTGCTGCCTTACTGCTCCTGATCAAACAACTTGAGTTCATTCTCCTACCCCCATAGTATAAATATCACAGCATGATCAGGTACTTCCTATAAAATCTGGATCACACCCCTGTAAGATGGAGATTTTATGGAAGCATTCAGTACAAATAATGTCATGAATGACTGAGTTTAGAGCTCCTGTCTGAGGACTCTGCATATACTGGTAGTTATTTTTTTAAACTAGTGGCTTTTTAATTTATTTTTTAACATATGTAACATTTCTCTTAATTGCAATGGGAAAATACAACTTATGTTTATATCTGAACTGAATTTATTTCTGTTGGGGTGATACAGCAGTGCACTCTGATGACGGCCAAACTGAATATTTGTGTTAAAAACTAGCTTCGTGCTTGTGCGCGTATTTTTTAAACAGTAAGAGTTGGGGACCTTGATACAAACTGAGGTCATGGCAAGGGTGGAGAAGGGTTAACATTCTTCTTCACTTTGTTCCAGTGAGCATCTACCTGCATCTGCCTTTTGACCCAGATTGATATTATCAGCAAAGTATGGCAGTGGACTTGCCATTGGGTTTTTCCTCATTGGGGTACATGGCATCTGTACTGAGCCTCATTGCAGAGGGGTTGCAAAAAGCCAAATATGGGAATGTACACAACCCCTCACATATGGGAATAGTTCATTGGTAGACCACATACAGGCCACGTGGTGGTCCCATGTCCAATCCCTGCCCTCTCCGGCTGTGGTTAAGAAAGATATGTGGCTGAAGTCCTAGAACAGTAGTTCACAATCTTCCTGCTTTCTCATCTCTCCTTTATTATCATGGAAATCCCTTTTAAAATAAAACCCATACTTTAAAACACTTAAAACTAAGCACAAACGCCTAGTTTAAAATTATTTTAAATTAAGTTTATGGGACAAAATTTGAAAATTAAAAAAAAAAGCAATCTAACCTTATAAAATACGTTTTCTGTATGAACATTTAGCAATATCATGTCCTTGATGGAATTTCTTGATGCTCATTGGGGACATGCCCTCCCCCCAATACCATTAGGAACCCATGGTCTTAAAGAGCCATTGCTGGTCCTTGTAAACATCCAGTAAGCTCAGAAGGGTCAATAATTTGATTCACTATAATGCACCTTGTCTTTTAAATGAACACCTCCCATGTATGGGCCATCCCTCATTTATTAGTGCTGCTGAGCCAGTGAGTACTATGTTGACCTTCTCTTGGGTCTATAGAGGCTTTTGGCAATGGAGAAACAGAGTGAAATGGAAAACAGGTATTGAGTAGAAGAAGAGAAAGAAAACCAGATATACATATACATAGGTATATAAATATCGCTGGCGTTAAGAAGATCAAAACAGCTGGGTAGGCAGGTAGTGAAATAACCTTGCCCAGAAAAAAAAGGAACAGGGTATATGAGCGTGATGGCCTGCTGAGCTCTGTGTGTTCACATCTTCCTGGATCAGCTTGTCCTGTTAATTAATTTTTCAGTTATAATTGGCAGAGCGCGATTACAATGTAGCCAAGATTCCATTGATAATAGTTGTGTCTTCAGTTTTATGTAACTATTTTTGAAGTAGTTTGAGCTCTGCCCTCTTTTTCCGAATCTTTTTTGCCACCCAAGAAAAACAGATGGAAATTATTAAACCCTCTTGTTAATTTACTTCATACACATAGTCCCTGTGCTTATTCTCCTTTGGGAATATTGCATAATTAGAGATATTTTAAGGTAAAAAATTACTTGCAGCTTCCAGATGTTGGAAGTAGATAATCAGCATATTTGTGCATTACTACTGGGATACAAGAGACTGGCAACTGTGTTGTCTCTGATGTATGTTATGCATGAATGATGGCATTTTGGAAGCTAAGAGCCACTTTCATTGTATAGCACCGTGTTTGATGTATGTTATGCATGAATGATGGCATTTTGGAAGCTAAGAGCCACTTTCATTGTATAGCACTATATTTATTTATTTATTTTATTTATTTGATTTATATCCCGCTCATCTGGTCAGATTTTTCATTGTATAGCACTATATACTGATGTTATTTGGGGGCAAAGCTAGGATGTGTATATAGCTTCTGTACCTTCAACAGATTCCAGTGTTCAGGATTCCATAAGTTGTTCCGAGATATTTTCCATGGCAAGCAGAGTACCTGTTCCATCTTATCACACAGTTTCTGTGTGCTTGTTATCTGAGAAATATAAACCATAGTGTTCACCTATAATTATGCTTGAGCAAAGGGATGTTGTATAGAGCCAGCTATGTTTGTCTGCTTTGACTACCAAATGACTGTTGCCTTGGCAGCAGTTTTGTAATATATTATGACAAGACCTTTCGACTTCATGTTTTCTTTTGTGTTTTTAAGTTGGCGATACTAAAACAAAAACTTTAACAAATGTAACAGAGATTCAGACTTTAATGTATTTCAGTGATTAGTAGAAAGGGGCTTGGTAGATGGAACCAGAGTATATTAGATCTGGAAGAAACATTTTATCTGGCTATCACAGTAATTGATTTTGGGCTAATTAATTTCCCAGACCTAGATTAGGTATGTGTTTCTTGCTTGAGTGATTAGAATTTGTTTGTGGAAGCCACTTGATAAGATTAAGTGACATATGAAGCCATCTTTTCTTTTTTTATACAGAATATCTGATCTTTCTACCAGTGGTGTACTAGTTTATCTGTAAGGAGAGGCATTTCTCCAGTGTAGATAACTACAGTACCACAGAGTCTTAGCTCCTGTGAGTGCCTGATTTTTTTCATGGCAGGTTTGAGTAACTTCTGGACCTCCAGATGTTATTTCATTCCCGTCAGCCTAATCAGCTCGGCCCATACAGAGATATGATAGAAGTAGCAATATACCAGTATCGAGAGTGAAAGATTTCTCACCCTGTTCTGTGAGATTTCTTCTGGAATGTTTTTAAGCCCATTAATGCCATAACATTTGTTTCCCAGAGTCCAAGTTAGCTGATCTTATGGGCCAGAATCCTATTGCTGATTTATATGTACACAAATGAAATTGTTTTATATTACAGTGTTGAATTGCCACTAATTAACAAGATGCCAGTCATGTTCCTGGTTGTGTACTTCTTGCATGACTTGGTGTGTGACCAGGAATGCAACAGTTATTAGCAATTCACTGCTGCAACTTAATGAGATTTCTCTTGTGCACATTTAAATGCATAGAAGAATAGGGTTGTGATCATGATATTTTAAAATTAGGACAGATGTTTAAGGAGCTTT